CGAATCGGTTTTACATGATGTTGACCAAGTTCTTTGGTTGCTACGTTCCCAACGAATGTGGCCCTATGCTAAAAAATGACTCCGTTTAATAAATTAATCATATTACTAATTGAGAATTGCTTTACTGCGATGGCTTACTGTAGCTTAATAGTAAATCAGGCTTGGCTTGAAAGTGGTTCCCATATTAAAAAGGGAATAAAGATTCGACTCCTGTCAGGAGGCACATTTTCTTTAGTAAGAGTTTCGATGTCAAAGCCGGTAGATATTAATTTCATTGTTAAAAAAATGTAAACAAAACAGGAATTTCTACTTAAATATGTGCATCCCATAATGTTTACGGTAATAAGAAATGAAGTCAGAAATATCCATTAATTGGTTTTAACTATATTGATATATTATTTTAAATTTGTAACAGTTCCTTTTATTAAATTGTCATGTAGTAATTCCAATGTTTATTATATTTCAATTAGTCATCACAATTTTTTGAACACTTCAAACTAGTTTGCCGCTACGTGGTCAAGTTATTCTCGTTTATTTTAAATGTATATCCATTCAAAACGAAAGTAATCGTAGGTGAACCCTAATCTCTATAAAAGACATGCAGCTTTTTTCTGTTTATTCCTTGGAATTTAGTCATTCATGTTATTTGGATTTTTCTTCTTCATCTCATGCGTATCTCCTGTTTCGCTAGCAGCTTTTCCAATGCGTTATTTTTAGTTTTGTTTTGTGCTACCAAATGTTAAAGCATCACAATATAAAACTTAACCTTTAGTCGACTCTAGACAAAATTTTCATTATTGTAAGTTTTCCATTCTTGTTCTAACAATTAAGTTGTTATATAAAAGGAATTTATTCATGGGAGGGAATAGAGTGAGAGGAGAAGGAACATCACTTCTCTTATCCCGATTATAGAATAAGGTGCATACGAAAACAAACAGGACTCGAAACTCCGACGTGAAATTTGAAAGGAATAAACATTTATTACATGAACATAAAAAAAACAACAAAGTACAAGTTTTACGAAAAAGCTTGCTCAAAGATTTCCTTTTGTGTGCCTTATTATGCACAAGACAAGATAATCAGTTCAAAATATAGAATAATTGACTCATAAAAAGGATATACAATTCAAATAATTTAAAAAAAACGGAGAAGGTAATACAAATTCCTTTTTAACAAAGGTTAAAAGTACACTTTAAAAAAGATTCAAAACACATACTTTCAAAAATTTTGGACTTATTTAATTGAAAGACAAAACAACTGAGAAGTGTTTTGACAGTCTTCACTAATGTCACTAGGACTTTTAATTTTTTTCTTTTCTAGAACACAGTTTGATTCATAGGTTTCACTTGGGTTCTACTTCTTTTTTCGTTTGCTTCTTCTCTGAGAAATAGCCCAGTTCATCCACTGTGACAGCCAAAATAGCTTTTTCTTTCTGATTCAAATTTGTATGCCCTCTTGTCACCTTCTCGTTTCTTTGAAACTTTTACACCTTCCGAAATTATTTGCTAACTCATCTTCTTATACAGCCCCGAAAGTGGCTCCAAATGGATCTCAACTTTTAAAAGTGAAAGTCACTCTTCTGATTGGAGGAAAAATTCAAAGATGTATATCATTTTCAAATTTGAAAAAGAAATCACAAACTGTCCGCCTTGACCGAATTATTTTCAGCCGTTCTTTTTTCGCCAGTCCTATTTTTAGAATATTTAACGAACAAATGTTTCACATCAAATCTATTTTTTTATTAACCGTCTGACTTACTTTTAAATACACTTCTCTTAAAAGTAAGTGTAAAAGACAAACCTAGTCTACTATATTTATGTTCTTATCTACACTCTTAATCATTTAATTTACATTTTTTATATAATTTTTATATTCTCCCCTCAATAGAAAGTGCAATAAACAAACTTAGTGTGTCGTATTATTTATAAATTATTTTATATTCACCTTTCTTATAATTTTCTATAACCATGTTGATTACATCCGTCTACCTTTCTGTCACTTTACTTACATTTATCTCTTCTACTAAAAAGTGTATCAAATTTAATAATTTACAAGTTACATAAAATAAGTATAATTACTTTAATTGGAAACTAGTTAATACTTTCAGGTTTATTATTTTTCCCAAAGTCAGATTACATAATTACAAATTGTACTAATCAACTTACTTATATGAATAATAATATTAAATTAAAATTAAAGAAATACTTAAGAAAACAAGCATTATTCTGCTTTTGAGCAGAATAATTCCTGAAAACATGAATTTAATCGATTCTTTGTTAAACACTATTTAAATGGGTAGTAATTCCAGAATTATTCCAAAGCGATTTTATTGAATTCCAACGTTCTTATAAAAATTCAACTAAAGTTTGTTTATGCTTGTGTATAGCATAACTATGAAAAAAAAAACTATTGTGATGGTGATGTCCCATAAATTTTTAAAACTTCTCGGTCTGATATAATGGTTGACAATGCTAATCTGGTCGACTATTAGTAGTGAGTTCCATCTTCACCGGGTGCCCCATAAAAAATTCAACATTAAATAACTAACAAGGGTTATGTCGTAAAATCAAACAACAAAATTTTAAATGCACTTCTTTAATTATCTGTTAGCCTTTCCTTTTTTTATTTCAGTAGCTACCTCGCCGATAATACTTAATTATTTGTTAAAAAATAATACTTCTAATCGACTGATTCAGGCTCCAATTCTCAGAGATAAAAATGGTGTTCTACCAGTCTGGATAGAGTTTAAAGAGTTTAGTTTAGCCTTCTGCTGCGATGCTGTTGAAAACATGCATTCTATGCTGTGTTTCTGAATATACTTGTTGCTTCTCTGTCACATTTTAATTTATTTGTATGTATGCATGTACGTGCTTAATGGCACGTGTGCATACATACACACTTACAAACACCATTAGGCACATAAAACTCTTTTGTAAAAATAAAAATGCTATAAAATAGGTTACTTTACACTACAGTTACACTACAGACACTCTGTTCGTCTTACTTTATCACTATGTTAAGAAGAGTGAATTTAAAATATTCTCTAACATTAAATAACTTTTAATTAACTTGACCCATGAGTTCATTTTAAGAAAATGTATATACTCATGGAAGTTTTATTAAATAACATTGAGTTAGATAACCAGATTAGTTTGAAGAATATTAAGTGGGATTTTCGAGGACATTGAAACTATAGTTTATTCAATTGTAATTTGGGATGTGACGTCGCGGCATTTTTAACTTGTAGTTTTCTTTCCAAGTGACCATTGATACCAGATGCAATTGAAAGCCACCGAAAAGTATTTTTTTTAAAGAAAAGTGTAATTAATATGCCGTATCCCTCGCAACGCCTCCACACTCTCACAAAATATGGCAGTTGGAGGCAGCTGCACTATCGCATGATTCTGACTCCCACAGTTTTTCCCGGTGTTAGGATGGATATGCGCGTTTTTTTTTTTTTTGTGTGTGTGTGTGTGTGTGTTTGTTTGTTTTTTTATGGTGTTTAGGAAAAAAAAAGTTCTTTTTTTTAGATTAGAATTAGATTCTATTGGTTACTCAGCATGTTCTTCTTCAGGAATTACAACTGCCAGGCAATTAAGCCTTTTTAACGCAGAGTTAATTTGTCGGGAATAAATTCCCATCGCGTGTTGTATTTTTTATTTCTTTTGGTTCCTCTGACTCATAAGTGAGTCGATCTGGCTTATGATAAATATTGATTTGGCAGACTCTCTCTCTCTCTCTCTCTCTCTGTCTCTCTGTCTCTGTCTCTCTCAAAGGCTTGTATAACCTCTTGACTTCTGTCATGAGAGAAAATCCAAAATAACATTTCGTATATTGATGAATCAATTTTGAAACCAAGCCGATAGAGGGGAGAAAAAAAAACTTTCTAGTCATCCGGAATAAACTTGCACGGCACACAAATTAAAAAATGTAGAACAATATAGCCAGAGGGTTTCATTCAAATGATTATAATTCAAACCCCTTGGCGGGGTGGGGTCTGTTCCCTCTTACATCACTTTCGGGATGGGGTTATTACTCAGTACCTGAGGCATAAAAAGAGAAGTGTCCTTTTGGGCTCAAGCAATTTTTGTACGGCTTCCAAATCATTTAAAAAAACTCGACCTTGTGTCACATGTGAGTGGGCGCATGGAATACCCATAAAAACAGAACAAATCTGGTTGTGTTCAAGGTGTCAATCTATACCTGCAAGCTTTTAGTTTTATTTTAAGATCTTATCATCTGTTGATTTATCCCTACATTAAAAGAATTACATTTTTAAAAGTCAGATCCGAAACGCGATATTTATAGCTATTCATAAAATAAAATATCTGATAAGTAAAAAGAAATTTTAATTTTTGAACTATTAAAAATACAAAAAGAAAGTCTTTCGGTTCAAGGTTTGTCTCGAATTTGTAAAAAAAAAATAAATAAATAACTAGCCTAAATAAGGAAAGCTTTCACTTTAGTTTTAAATTCATAACAAAACAAATATAATAAAAATAAAAAATATTTTTCTTTTAGTGATCCACTGTAAAATCCTCAAAAAGATATTATTTTTATTATTTTTAAATAGACAAAAAGATTTTTTTAAATCGAATCTGTAAAATAAAAAGGAAAATCTATTTTCGAATTAACTAAGCCATCTACTTCCAATCGTAGTTAATCTAGGATTGATAAAATCTACGATACCCCCTTACTATAAACTAGCATGTTCAAACTGGTTGATTCAAAAATTCCTTCAAAACAAAATATAAGTCATATTGTCAGAGTATTCATTCATCATGTGTTATATATCTTTTCGTAATCATTATACAACAGTTATTCATCTGCGAGCTACTAAAATAAATGATTGAATTTTCTTATACATATTCTTTTTAATCTTGTGTAATCACAAAAATATGGCACGAGGCCAAAGATGATTGACTTTTCTTTTCCCTGACATACCCGGTCGCTAATGAAAGGAGTCTAAGGAAGTGCAGGGTGGAAGTACGATATTGCGCATGCTCAGTGATGGGGTAACACATGGAGCCAGGATAGGAGATAAGGTTTATTCCGCTGCAGATGGTTTCCAGAACAGGTTGGTGTTGTGTTTGCTGTGTATCTATTTACATGTGTATTGAAATTTATTTTGAAGCATGCACTAAATAGTAAAACTTTGAGACGAACCTTAAGACCGTTTTCTACCCGTTTTCTTTTAGCTTTTTTTTTTTTTTTCGTAATGTAAGAGGTGTTGAATTACATAGGTACAAGAAGAGACTCAGCAGTCTTTTTTTTTTTTTGTTCTATTCATTCTTCGTCTGTAAACATGCATTTTTTTTCGGACTTGAAAAGATGAATTGGTCCTTTTTGATATAATTGTCGTGACCGGTACAATTCAGTTTACAAAAAAAAAAAAAAAGCCTGTAAAAGATTTTTTCATTTTGAATTGAATGAAATCCCAGGAATGGAAATACTTAGTTACAACTGTTACTTGTTGCACCAGCTATTTCAAAATGAGAAATCGTTTCATAATGTTTCATTCATATTTTTTTCTTTTTATCTCTCTTTAAAAAAAATAAAAAATCTTCTTCCATTTGTTCTATTTCATTACATTACAAAGATTTAAAATTTCTTCTTTTTGTTCCCTATTATTAATTTACCAATAATAAAACAATGCTCGGTAGATACTACACATCTTCCATAGGCCGTTAGTAGCAGTCAATGTAAACAACCCAACCAAATATCTTTGAAGTAGTAGTCAATACAGAAAAGGAAAACTTATACGTTTTTTTTTGTTTTTTTTTTTATAATAAGATTAAAACAATGGAAATCTATTTTTAACTCACACATCTGGATAATAATTAAGAACCTCACCTTTATAAAACTAAAAAAAAAATGTTTATTTAATTAATTCAATTGACAGTTCACTGACTCCTTTTCTTTCAGTTCTTTCAAAATAAGCATGCAGTGATTATTATTTAATAAACAACCAAATTTTATTCATAAATAATTTTATTTCGAAATTAATCTTTATTCCGTTGTAATCAATAACAACAGGTAAAAAAATACCAGCCTCCTGTGCACATATTCACACATTTTGAGTTTAAAAATCAAATTATTTGTTGATTCATTGCAGTTGCTTTCTTTATTTTTATTATGACTGGACTAAAAATGCTAAAAACAAATGTGGCGCTACGTTTTCTTGTAAATGTCAAGTAACCGACCTATATTTTGAAATAATGATTCTTCTTGCCCATTATTCACAAATAATAATACACTAAGTACCCTTGTTTTGCTCATACCAGGAATTGTCTTCAAAATATTTTTCTTTTTCTTGTCCTGTTGCTTATTATTAGCATTGTATTTTTTTTTAGCAACTTCTTTATTCAAAAAGAAAAAAAGATGCTATCAAATAACCTCTCTAAACACATTTTGCACGTGTAATATTCAACAATTGTCTAATTGACCCTTTTTGTTTGTGTGTGTGAGTAAGTCGCTTTTAAAAAATTTGAAATCTGTCAAAAAAGAAACCAAAAAAAAACAAAGGTTGATACGTACTTCGTTAAAGAAAGCACTTTAGACTTGACTATCCTGTTGTTTACACTAAATTCAAATTGTAATTTCTAAATTTCATATTTACTCACGCGCAAATACTGGGAACCAAAATTGTCCAAAATATGCGCGATTAGATTATTTTAGATTATTTTACTTCATTTTTATTTTATAAATTTCCATTTTGTTGAGAAATCTAATGTTTTAAAATGCGTTTTTTGTGACTTGCATATAAAAACCACCTCATGAAATTGTTGTTCAATCATTGTCACGTTCTTACCACTTCATTTCAAAAATATGAAAATGAAAAAAAAATGTTCTCGTTAAGTTTTATTTAAACTTTGAGTACGACGAGGTGGGGATAATGATTCTTTACTTAATACTTGTCAGAATCCACAATTTTTCCAATACATTTTTAATTCTAACTATCTGCTTTCCATTCTAAAAGTAACGTCCACATTTGTTTCATTTGGTAAATTCTAAAAAAAAGACCTCAAATTATTTCTTTATCTTCGTCCAAATGATTTTGCACAAACTGACTGACGCTATGTAACTTAAATTGCGTAGTGCTTTTTTGTTTTGGTTCATATTGTTATGCCACATGATTTTCAATATGTTTCAACAAATTAACACACATATTTACTATCTTCATGATCTTTCGCCTCCTTACCGACACACACACACATTTGTAAATGAATAAATTCCGCGTATGTGCAACGGTTTCTCTAATTAAATGTTTTCTGAATTTTTATGGTTCTTGCTTGCTTCTAGATATTAGGTTACACAATAATGAAAGAGTAGCGTCTTTTTTTACTGTGGAAAAACATTGATTCGGAAATTCTTGCAAAATCAAATTGTCGGATTTTAATGAAACATTCAGCAGGACTTATTCACAAATGAATGAAATTATTTTAGAAAAGTTTCTTTCTTAGAAAATCTCGGACAAAAAAACTTTTTTCTTGCATCTGTAGAAGTTCGTTTTGTTTTTTTTTGTTTTTTTTTGTACTGCTTAAAGGTACCTCCACAAATTCGCCAAAAAATGAGGATACCATGTTGAAAAACTAACCCAATAAAAACTTAAAAAGTTTTATTGTCAAAATCTTTAAGAGGAAAGAATGATTTTTCTTTATTATAAATTTATTTTAATTTTTTTTTTTAATCCTTTTTAGAATGTTCAAAATTTTTTACCTAATCCCAAAGGCTACTGTGTGTAATTAAAAACGTTATTTTCATTTTCGTCTATATGATGAGTGGCTAGTGAACATAAAAAATTTTTTAGGCATTTCAAAAATGCATAAAAATAAGAGAATTAATTTTTCTTTTAATTCAGATTATGAATGTTTATTTTTAAGCAGAACTTTTTTTTTTTTGGTGGGGGGTCCGTAAAACAGGACTACCATTTACCAAAAATACTCTCTGAATCGCAAAATAAGAAATTCAGTAAATAATAAGACATTATCTAATTAGAAAAGCTTTTTTAAGATGTATCATGGTAGACACTAAAAAAAATTTTGATAAATAATGATTTTTTTTTTTTTTTTTTTTTACAAGTATTGTTTTCATTTCTTTTAATTTATAAAGTTTTAAATCTTAAAATTTTGTATTAATTTTTTATTTGTACTGGTTAGGTGATATTGTTATTAAGTAAAAAAAAAAAAATATATATATTTACTAAATTAGTATTACCAATCATAAATGGAAAAATTTACTAAAATTCATTGCCCCCTCCCCACACACAATATTTTTTAAAAAGTTTGTGTATAAAAGTGTTGTTTTTTGTAAATATAGACGTCTATGCTTGGTATTATAAAAAAATAAGAATATAGTAAATTTAAAACAAAGTATCTAAAACTCAATATTTTCCTAATTTTTTATGATTACAGGGATAGTTAAAAAAATTATATAGAAAAGGTGCTCACATTATATTCAAGTAATTTTTACAGATATGTCCCTTGTAGAAAAAAATTAGACAAACTTCCGGCTGTCAACTTTTAAATCCCTTAAATAAAGATCTACCATCATGTTAAAAAAAGCATTTTTGTTATATTTTAAACTAAAAGTAATATTTGTTACAAATTGGACTGATTAAACTTTAAATTGGTTAATATTCCTCAAATAAAGTTTCAGAAAAGTACATTTTATTTTTGAAAGATTTTTTAATAAAGAGAATTACATTGTGCTAAAAATGGTGCTAAAATCAGTGAATTTTAACAATTTAAAAAAAATTTTCTGTAAATATAAATTAGTTTTGAAATACAAGAAAGTATTTTACTTGGTGGAAATATAAAATTTAATCTATTAGCTTGAAATTAAAACTAAAATAAAAACATCAGGAAAGATTTTTCATTTTTTAAAATTCATTTAAAACTTTAGGTATCACTTTGTTTTTGTTTTATTTAGGTACTTATAGTACCAAAGATTACTTATGCCATCCTATCACACAAAGCAGGATTCGACCAGAGCTACTTTTGGTGGACAGAAACTCTTATATCTTTATTAAATAAATTGAATGCCTTTGAAAATAGTAGCTAAAAGTTTCACATCAAAAGTACTAAATGTGCAAACAACTGATGATAGCAAAATACTGATAAAGTTAATATATCCTTTTCCAAAAATTAAAAGTATTATGTTGCATAATATTATCCATTAACATTTTTGCCTAATGTTCTTAGATTTATTGTGATTCTGCTGATTTGTATAAATGTTCAATACCTAGAAAGATTTGTTCATAGTTGTACAATATATTTAAAAAAATGTTAAAAGGAATTGATTTTTTTCTTTTCTCTATAACTCGCTTCAAAAATATTTTGCTTTGAATTAAATAACCTTTCAATATTATACACACATTAGTCATGAGTAAGTAAATATTCAGCTATCTTGTTCCCCAGTAAGTCTTATGTGCAATATATTGCTATATTTGCTTTGGAAAATAAATCATCTATATTTAAAGTAAAAGCTTTGATATCACTTTTTTGCCACCTACTCAACTTGTGTATAAATTAGGCCATAGTTAACTGCTAAATTTCTCCAATACCAAATATTTTTTATTCTCATTAACTTTACCATATTTATTTAGTCTGTGTGACTATTATTCTTAATAATTGCTAAGTTTTTGTGAAGAGACACATATTCACATAAAGAATACAAGTACTCAAAGGTGGTTAAATTTTTTTTTTAAAAGCTTGATTAAGAATAAAAAATATTTCATTCTATAAAGTATGCTTTTCCTCGGTAAAGGATCTAGAAAATATCAAAGTTTCTGTTTGATACTTTGCTGAAAGAGCTTTTGATAACATTTTATTTGTGAAAATAAAACAGATGTCTTTCATTTCTAACAGTGCCAAGAAGTCAGAAGGAAATATGCTGTTATGGGGGAGGGAGTAATAATGATAATGAAGTAGATACATTTGTTTAGTAAGATACAAGGCCACAAGAGTTAATGGTTTAGTTTACCTAACTATTCCATTACATTAGGTGTTGAAATGATGAAGGAACTGGACAGTTTGGCAATATACCAGAATTATACCTCAACACATGTAGTTTCAC